TAACCCTTGAACTTTCATACACTAATTAAATATTTAAAAATTATCAAAAATAAATATGCAATTTAAAAAATCTGGCATGATTTTCTTAAAAAAGTGAATTACGTATTTGTTAAACATATGTAATTAAAGAATTTTATAAAGCTCTTATCAAAATTATGAAGTAAATATGCATGTGTTCATAATAAAGAAATATTAATCAGATAAAACAGGTTGGAAAAATGTATTTTGCATAGCAAATAATTCATTTGGAGTTCCATGCTCAAGAATATAAAACATAACTCTTTACTTTTTAAGTGTGACGATGCTTGGATAGTTGGAATTGAATGAAAAAAGATCACATATGGGGAAATATGAAAAACAACTCCTTCAGCTCTGTGATTATGAAAAAAATAAAAACTAAGTCATGATGACAGTAGGTTTCTTAAACTTTATGAGATTGAATGCTATCCTATTTCATTATCTGTACACATCCAAAGACTGTGGTTTACTCATGGAAACAAATCAACAAATTCTCATTGAGATTCACCTGCAAAATAATTGATCTTTATCTCTAAAAACTTCAAGATGAGGAAGCATACTGGTTATATATCCGAACATTTACATCTCCTTCAACTGGGAATAGCTAAAACACAAAATAGATAGTTGGATTTTGGGGTAAGTTCCTCAGAACAAACATGGAGTCCCAAAGGGGTACATAAGAACCCTGCAAAACGTGAAGTATGATTGAGATGGAAACAAAGGCAATGTCAACGCCAACCTACAGCCATGTCTCAGGGAATCTCAGCTCCAGGAGAGCATCAGCAGAGGACATCTGTGCAAACACACACCCAGGCCACCTTGGATTCATGAAGAAGTAATAAACACTTTCCAAGATAAATGCAGAGAAAATTGTCACTACCAATACAGGCTTAGAAAGTAAAATATTGTGAGTGTACATGTAGAATTAAAAGAAAACTAACATCTTGAAAATATGTGCAACTGTAAAACTAGAAAGAAATACGCTTACTAAAAACAAATTCTTAAAAATGGTAAGATTAAGTCATTACTTACTAACTGTCATCATAAATGTAAATGGGCAGTGTATCTCAACTACTAGATAAAGGCTGAGCACATGCTGCAGAATGACTGACAATCTCCTACATTGTTGGGAGACACTCCAGCAGCAGCATGATGGACTTGTGAAAATTCATGAAACACCAATTGTGAGACTGGAGGGGAGAACAAAGGGAAGGGATTTGGGGGAGGGGGAAGGGAGACCCCAGCACCAACTAAACTGTATCAAAAACAATAAGAAAATAAATTATTATTAAAATATGTATAAGATATGAGTCTGATTCAGTGTCATAGTAGACTAAGCCTCTGACTAGGGTGCTGGCATCCTATATTGATCTGTTTTGTTCCCCAGCTGCTCTTCTTTTGATCCAATTCCCTGCTTGTTGCCTGGGAAGGAAGGGGAGGATGACTCAATTCCTGGAGTCCCCACACAAGTGTGATCTCTGAGATTGCCTCATTTGGTACATCTCTTTGGACACCCAGAACTAACACAGAAATCTTCATGCAGTAATGTCCTTACTTGCAATGATTCTTTGAAAAGTCTTGAGATTCTGACTGTCATCCTAAAAAAGTTTTTGTACTTTCTGTAAACAGTTAATGATGAAAAAAGAAATTATCGATGTGCCCAGGTTGTACTGTAGCATAATGTAGAGATTAGGAAATGGAAAATATTGATTACAGGACACAACATTTCAGTTATACCCAAGCATACATTTTGGTGAATTATTCAACTGCATGGTGATCATGCTGAATAATATTGTATTTCCATTTTCCAAAATTAGTAGATCTTTAGTGGTGCTGGTATGATTTTTGGCCCTGTGTTACATTTTTGGTTGGAATATTGACTTTCTGTGTTAAAGTGCCTGTGTTAGAGTCTTGTATATGAATCTTATTTCTGTATCTGACTAATAAATCCATGGAAGGTAGCAGCTGATAAATCTTGTAGTTTTGTCCTCACCACCCATGGAAGCCATCTGGATGAATGTCCTGGATCACAGCATCAAGCAACCTCAGGCCCAGCCATTACACTCTTCTGAGGGAATAAGCAAGTGGACAGAAACTCTATAACTTTCTGTACAGATTTCAGCTTCTGAGATAAATGCATGCATTTACGTATAACTATAGGTACAGATGCATGGACTTATACAGAAATGTATTTCACCTAAAACAATTATTCACTGACTAGTGAGGATATAGTAATCAGCTTGGCAGCATAATTAAAATGAAGGAACGCAGCAGCTGTGCTGTGTTAGTCTGACAGAGATGTACCATGTCTAGTTCCACAAAAGTCTTAATTTCAGATAAGCAGCTGTGTGACCTCACACAGCTCAGATGAGTAAATGCACCATAATGAATTAAAGATGGAGCATGAAAGGTTGACTAGCAGGGACCCAAGAGTCGGTCAGGAAGTGTGCAGGTGAGGATGTGCATGTGAAGAAGACTAATATCAGCACATTAAAGTAAAGAGATATTGGATTCATAAAGAGAATCAAAGATGCAGCTGTTCCAATCAGGTTAAAGATTCACATTTAAGCAAGTCACAAAATGAGGTGGCAGGTAGGTGTAGCTCTTAGTCTAGTTCCTGTGCATCTGAGTGTGTGGAACAAAGTGAATGTCAGTGACGCTTGCAAAGGAGATGGAGGGTGGCATGGTACAACATGGGAGAGTGGGTGTGCCATCTTTAACAATCTATTTGAATTTTATCCTCTGTGTTGTTCAAAATAGATTCTACCCTGTCTTTTCTTGGGAAATGCATTACCCTAGAGAAGGAGAAATACAGCCTGCATTGTGCTACTACTACAGATGCCCCAGTTCAGGGGTGTTTGGACAAAAATATCTCTTCCTAGGGAGGATTGGGAGAGGGGACCATTTGCTGATTTACACTGATTGCACACTGGAGATTCAGTGGGGATGCTAACACCAAGGCTCCTGCAGCAGTGGGACTCCTGCACAGTACAACTGTGGCTTGTACCTCTCCTGAGGTCTAGCTCCTTGTTTTACTTTTGTCTGTTAAAGGGATTGAGAGAAGACAACGTGCCTGGCAGGCCTGTCTTGGAGAAATGAGTTCACAGGTGAGAGGGGTTGAGCCCAGCTGCTCTCCTCTGCTGCCTAGTTCACCTTTTCCCTTGAGTGGATCCTCTTCTTAGGATGAAAGGGCCAGTGTAGTCCTGCTTCTGCAGGTGAAATGACGATAATTGGCCCGCAAGGAGAGGAGCTGGTACCATCCCCTCACTATAAATACATCTTGAGGATTTATTCCACTATGGATTCACATCACAGGCTTAGCTGGGTGAGTGTCTTTCTCTTTGGTTTCTGGGCTGAGGCAGTTTATTTTTCAGGATGATGTTAAAATTTTTCACTCATGATATCAATCAGTCTAATGAATTCAGCAATTTTATGAATTATAGTAGCATAAGAGTGAATAGGCTTGCAGAAGTATAATTGTAGTTGGTTGATGACTTCAATTGGTATTACATTCAGTATCCTTTATTGTAACATATTGTTAATTTATCATATTCACTTCAAGTAAATTTGATCTAATTAAACTCACCTCAACTTACTCAGGATGCTTTGGTGATACTGCATAATGAGGGTGAAGTTTATCTAACTTTTAAATGTTCTTGATCATGGAACTTGCAGGAGAGGGAAAAGTTTTATATTTTTTATATTTTTCTAAATTCAGTATTTGACAGATTGCTGTGGCTATCACCTTCTCACCAGGGTGTTTTTCAGGTTGGCATACTGTTAACAATTCAGTTTCAGTTTCCCTTGTGTCTGCATTTCATTCACTTCCGTGGAGTACATTTCATGTCCCATAACTCAGTGGACGATTTCCTATTGACTTGCTGTAGATTTTTCCTCCTTCTTCTTCACTGTATTACTTGTTACTGCTTTTTGCTAAGAGGTGCTGATAATTGAATTTGTGTGATTATGCATATCCTCATAATTAACTCTGCCTTTTACATTTTTCTATATTTAACTCCATTTCCAAAGAGCAGGTGACTTATTGCATGAATTCAAAGCTATTGGATTATTATTTTCTTTATTCTGCTAAAATTTGTCCATTTTATTACTAAGCACTATCAACTTACACATATTTGTTCATCAGAAATTCTCATCACATTATAGTGCCATGAATGGTATAATATGTCTTCAAATGCCTCTGAAGAAATGTGATAAAACTTATAAGAGCACAAGCCAAATATTGCTGTGGTGGTGAATGAAAATATTTAAATTATTTTCTGGTCTCCTTTTTGTAATTTTTTAATCTTATGGCATGGTTTATAAAGTGAAGTATGGCAATACCTTTATATATGTACTTAAAATTATTGTAAGACATTATTTCATGCTGAAATATACTACTAAATGAGTTGATTATAGTCATTCAAGTGAGGAAATGGTCAATAATTTAGTTAGTTTGATTCTGATAAAAAAGTGTTTTTGCTTTACTACATCAAGCCTTCTGAGAATGTTCAATAGCCAGCCATTTAACCAACACAGTAATGAATCCTATATTAACTTACAGCATGTCATGTAGTAGCAGAAGGATTTTATATATGCACTTTATTCTTGAATGTGAGTCATTTTCGCATCATCTATGTGTGTGTACGTGTGTGTGTGTATTTATAGAGAGGTACTTCAAAAATTTTGGAAAATGAAATTAAAAATAATATTTTTTGCATAATTATTTTGAAATATTCAAATAAAGGGATCTTGAGATGGTTAAAAAAGGATACATCATAACTAAGTTCATTTTTTATGGAAAAAGTACAGATTTACTACAAAGAATTTCTAGCAAATTTGGCTAAAATATTGGGTCAAAAAGAAATGATGATTCAGGATGATTGTCATACAAAAAGGGAGATTGCTGGTGACTAGATGCCTGTGTTTTGTTTTACAGGTATCTGAAATACTTTCCAGTATGCTGAGCTGAGCAGTCTTAACTTATGTTATCACTGAAAAATGTGTCCTTTTTCCAAGCTGGGATTGGAATCTTAGCCAACGCCTCCCTCCTTGTCTTCCACATCATCACAAGGCATAATTTTCACAGGCCTAGGCCAACAGACATTACCATTTGTCAGCTGGCTTTTGTCCACCTAGTGATGTTACTTATCAAGCTAGATATTTCATTTGCCAACATGTTCATATCATTGGATTTTCCAATTGAATTAAAATGTAAGATTTTCTTCTACTTGAGTAGGGTGATGAGGGGTCTCTCTATGTCTACCACCTGTCTTCTGAGCATCATTCAAGTCATCACCATCAGTCCAAACTCCTACTTGTCAAGATTTAAACCTAAACTCACAAAACATGTTCTCATTGCTTTCTCCTGCATTTGGTCCCTTAATCTGTGTTCCAATAGCATCTTGGTCATCTACACTGTGGCTCATTCCAACAGGACCAATCTACTCAATGTCAGTAAGTACTGCTCACTTTCCTCAATGAACTCTGTCATAAAGAAACTATTTTTCATGCTTGGGTTATCACAGAGTGCCTTCTTTGTGGGGCTCATGCTGCTCTCCAGCATGTACATGGTGATTTTCTTATGTAGCCATCAGAGGAAGTCTGAGTACCTTCACAGCATGAGCATTTCCCCAAGAATCTCCCCAGCCAAAAGGGCCACCCATACTGTCCTAGTGCTGGTGAGTTTCTTTGTGATTATGTACTGTGTGGATATTACCATCTCATCCTTCTCAACTGTACTGTGGAAATATGACCCAGTTGTCCTGGATATCCAGAGTCTTGTGGGAAATGTCTATGCCAGTGTGAGTCCTTTGGTTCTTATTAGTTCTGATAAAAGAATAATTGATATTCTGAAGAAAACATAATCAATATGCCAAACATGTTAACAGTTGATGAGCCAAGCCTGAAAATATGAAATACATAATTTGTGAAATAATCAAATATCCAATATTTTAATGTGATATGAATATGCAGAATGTACTACTATCTATTTTCACTTTGACATTGCCCAAATCTGCATCTGTTATATGAAAATATTTATGACTATTTTCATACCCTGTAGGTTGTTAGACGTTTATTCTTATACTTTTACATTGCTATGTTTCTCTCACAAAGAGTTTTTTGATGTTATGCAATATAGATAAGGTTTAAATATTTTTCTTAATTTTCACTTATTCACACTGTAAACTTCTAAATTGGATTTGTGTCTTGTGGTCAATTTGTATACTCAATAAAATTTTTATAATCATGTCTTTAATTTCTTTTGTAGAACAAAAAAAGGAACAGATTAATGATTTCTCATTCTAATATTTGTATATGTAGAAAAATAATTTCAAGTGTATTTAACTTTCTTTGAATTTAATATATTTACCCTAACTGTGCTTAATCCTCAGTATTCCTTCTTAAAAAAAATAACTGTTTCATTCCTGTAAAGTTACATTGAATAAGTTCACTGTGTGTTCAGTTATTCACATATTTCTTTTTTTTTAAAGATTTATTTTTATTATTTTTTTTATTGGAAAGGCAGATATATAGAAAGGATATACAGAGAGAAAGATCTTCCATCTGATGATTCACTCCCCAAGTGAGCACAACGGCCGCTCAGCTGATCCGAAGCCAGGAGCCTCTTCCAGGTCTCCCACATGGGTGCAGGGTCCCAAAGCTTTGGGCCATCCTCTACTACTTTCCCAGGCCACAGGCAGGGAGCTGGAGGGAAGTGTGGCTGCTGGGATAGAACCGGCGCCCATACGGGATCCTGGGTGTGCAAGGCGAGGACCTTAACCACTTGCGCCACCGCGCCGGGCCCCAGTTATTCACATATTTCTATTTCTTTTCAAATATGCACTTGATGCATATGATTTCATGTTATTTTATGTTAATTTTAAAATACATTTAATAGACTTGCCTGTTATGACTATCACTCAAAAATGAGGCAATAATGTGTTGTGAAAATGTGTTTAAAATAACAATATTGATTCTCAATTCAGGCAGATGTCGTCTTGTTACGTTTGCAGTTTGTAAATTTTAATTCCTTTTCCCTTTCCAATCTTTATAATCCAAAACACAGTTGCAATACGCCCAAAAAATGTTACACAAATGGGAAATTGCTCCTTAGCTTAATCCTTCCCCCGATAAATATCTTGTTTATGTTTGTATTTGGATGTCCTCCAATTTCCCTTCCAGTTTCTTTGGGCATTTTAGTAAAGATACTCGGTTTGAGAATTTTGCACTTCTGCACTAGAAGTTGTTACATATGATCCAACGTTGTCTCAAAAGAATCTCATTTTCTAGAAGCATACAAATAATATTTCACATAATGTTATGTAACACATAAGCATATTTCAACTGAAATCTCCTTCATTTGCAACATACTTCTCCGAAATAGTATAGAGTGTGATAACTCACAGAGCATGATTGTTTCATAACATATAAGTAATTTCACATTTTACATGGATTTATTTCATGTCACTCTTTAATATTAAACTAATACTGGTGAGATTCATTCGTATGATTTAAGGATTTTATCTTTAACCATTATTTTTCACATTCTACATTCCCATGAATCTACAAGATAATACTCACAGATTATCTAACTTAATTTTGAGTTAACTTTATCTTGATGAAATGTACATGTAGACATGTTTGTTGTGATTAAATTTTACTTGATGACTGCTGTTGTCATTACTGTGGTGAGAAAATTTCTCCTGTAAATTACAATGGTGAAGGTGGAAATGACAGATTATATACATAATGTATCTTTCTATGTAAACACTTGTAGCTAGTTTCAAACTGTTTTCCATTTGACAACAAGTAGCCAGCTTTTGAATAAATTAGTTAATATTTAACTCATGTGCAGCCACTGTAGGCTAACCCCAGATATTGATCACTTTAGAATAGATGAAGAGTGGCTGTGATTATACCAGCAAATATCAGTGTGTCTTCCTTGCTGCTGACAGTAGAAATTTAACAAGCCAACTTGAGTATCACACGGGACTCTCTCCCCATACCGAGAGCTTCCCAGAGTACCCTGGAGCGAAGGGTACACATTGTTAGATATTCACATAAGGTGCGTAGTTCAAAGAAATGAAAGCCAGCAGAGACTAAAACCAAGAAAATTTTCAGCAAATGCCTAAAACTTAATACAAAGTGTGAGAAAAAGAGCAAATAAGACAACATTACTCCCCCAAAGTAACAAAATATTAGTTCCATATCAGAGTCTGAACGGGCTAATGAAATGCCTGGATATGAATCCCAGAAAATGATCATTAGATTACTCTAAAATGAACAGAAATATGTTACTGAGATTAACAAGTCCATACATTCTGTGCATGAAGAATTTTGTTGAGACATGTATGGACGACACATCAAAATAAAATATTACAAATGAAGAATTCATTATGTCTCAAGTACAGTAGCAATCCTTAAATATGCACTTGAGGAGATAAGGCATGAGAAAATTATCTCACCTACAGAACAAATCCTTGGAAATAGCTCTGGAAAAATATAGAAATAGAGTGAAAATTATATTCTAGATTAATAGGATAATATTAAGTAACTATATGCTCCCTTTTAAAAAGATTTATTTATTTATGTTGGATAGTGCCAATATGCATATTGTAAAGTTCCTGAAGGTGTGGAAAGACAGAACGGATAGAAGGCCTGTTTAGTGAAATACAAGCAGAATATATTTCTAATGTGCAGAAGGAAAGAGACATTCAGTTACGGGAAGCACAGGTATTCCCTAAATGATATGATCAGGAATAACATTCAACATGATATGTAATAGGGAAATATTCAACTGTAAGTTATACAAATCTTAAAATGTCTACAAAGAAGTGCCAGATTACATTAGAGTATCTCTGATTAGAATGAAAGCAGGTTTGTCATAATAAACCCTATGGGCTGGCAGAGTGTAGAGAGACTTAGTCCAGGTCCTGAAATAACTCTCAATCTGTAATACTGTATCCAGCAACCCTCTTATTTGCAAATGAAGGTAAAATAAGGATCTGTGAACAATAGAAAAGAACCATCCACGCTAACAAATAATGCTTAAGAATGTGATACACACAGAAATAGAGAATGATGACATAGTGAGAGAAGGGGGAGGCAGAGAATCTCCTGGGAAAAGTACATTCATAGCAAAGCATAAGAACATTTATGAACAGTGCAAGAACCAACCATTACTCATCAATGTAATTTTGAATGTCAACAGAGTAAATTATTACATTCAAATTTTCAAACTGGGATAATAGATTATAAAATAATCCTATATAAATTTGCTACCTGGAAAAACACACCTGTTCAATAAGGATTCAGACAGACATTATGAAAACAGCTGGATAAGTATGTTACACAAAACTGGGGGAAAAATAAGGTGTAGCCATTCTAATATCAGCCAAAATAAAGAAGTTAAGAAAATAAATCTGTTCAAAAAGTTGAAGAAGGACATTATAAAATGATTAAGATCATTGAAGACAGGTGTATAATACTCCTTAACTCACTCAAAGCAGTATGTGAAATTCATGTTAATTATCAAATTAAATAGCAAAAAATTGAAAGCATTTGAACCAAGATCTGGAACCAGCTAAGAGTGCTGTCTTCACTACTGCTACTGATGTTGTGCTTGAAGTATTGTACAAAGCCATTTGATAAAAATAAATCAGAATGATACAAATTGGTCAATCTCTTCTGTTTGCTCTTGACAATACTCTCTATAGAGGGAACCAAAAATTGTATTGAGAGACTACAACTGATAAAAGAGTTGTTTACAGTACAGAAAATCAACAGACACAAAATTCAATAACTTTAACATATAAAAATATTGCCATGACTAGGAAAGTATTTGTAAGATGTGTATCATTGACAAACTCTAAAGAGAAATCTAAGTACCTTTGAATACATAATCAAGGATGTGCAAGGTATCTACAAAGAAAACTTACAAAACCTTAAAGATGAAAGATGGCAAAATGGGACAATTCTTCATGTTTATAGATTAGTTCAATGTATTCAATCAAAACACCCCACTATTCAAAGAAGCCTATAGAATGACTGCAAACCCATTAATATATCGGTGATGTTTTGCTCAGATCTAGAAGAGATTCTGTAGCACAGTGGCATGACAGGCTAATCCTTAACCTGCTAGTTCTGGCATGTCATAAGTGTGCTGGTTGGCGCTCCAGCCACTCCATTTGTGAACCACATTTCTGTTTGTGGAATGGAAACACAGCAGAGGCTTCCCCAAACTGGAAGAATCTGATGGTTGCTAATTTTGGATCAGTGCATCTCCGGTTCCTGTGGGCATTCGGGGTCATCAGCAGATGACTACTTTCTCTGTCTTCTTTCTGTGTAAAAACTTGCTTTCAACTTAAATCTTAAAAAATGATTCTGAAATTGTAAAAAAAAAAACCACAGAAATGTTATTTTTTGCTTATGCTTATTGAAGAACCTAGGCGTTTTCTGCCTTTTGTGATTCTGCCTTAATGGCTTGGCTGGGGGCTGTGTGAACCTCACGCCTGATAGTCTACGTGACACCCGGCAGGACACCTGGCAGGTCACGTAGGCAGACCACTCTTCAGGAAGGAGGTACCTGGTGTTTGATAAGATTCACAGCCCAATAGCTTATCAATTTGTACTTTTTAAAAGTTGCTTGTTTCAAACCCACCAATAGAAGCCTGCTAAGTCATGACTGCATAATTAATAGCCTGAAATGTATAAGAACTGGGGGGCTTGGGCTCTCGGCCCCCTTCCCTGGCTCTTCTGGCTCGCGCTTCTTTTGTCCTCCTTGTGGATCCTTGCAGCCTCGGCTGCGGCTGCCCCTCCCCCGCCCAGCCATGCTGGGCTGGGGGAGGTCGCTGGGTTACCTAGG